TCTGCCTGTTCTGCTCCCCACTCTGTCTCTGGTGAATCCTCTCACCGCCCCTGCCCTCTGGCCTGTACCCCAGTTCTCTATGAATAAATAAATCTTTTTTAAAAATTCTGTTTACCTGTATTCTTGGTCTTTGAACTTACCAATTACATGTTTCTGTAAAACAAGATCGATGATACGCAGGCAGATATTTTCTAACTGTTGAGTAACCTAAAGACAAATTTCGAATATTTAGTTTAAAATACATCATGATGGGCCCTCCCTGGTGGAACAAGGGGTTGGAATGAAGCACTATAGAGCTGTCTGCAGCTACTGCATGGTGAGTTCAGTCCCCAGCCACAGGGGTGATCCAAACGGCTTGCAAGACTTCTGTCTCGCCCCCTGCTCCTCTCAGCAATGTATTTCAGTGGATCTGCCTATTTTGCTCCCCACTCTCTGGAGAAATCTTCTTCCTGTACCTCTGGCCTGTACCCCAGTTCTTTAAATAAATCTTTAAAATAAATTCACCATGATGACCCCTAAACCAATCTATATACTTAATTATCCCAATAAAAATATCAATGGGATCTTTAAGACAATCCTAAACTTCACATAAAAGTTGACACATGCAGGGCCCTCCCTGCTGGCGCAGCAGGGTAAAGCACAGCACTAAGAAGCTAAAGCCACTTCAGCATGAGTTCCATTCCGGCCTCAGAGGTGATCCACATGGCGCGGCAGACCTCTCCTGGCCCGCCCACTGCTCCCCTCAGCAGTGTATTTCAATCGATCTGCCTGTTCTGCTCCCCACTTTGTCTCTGGCGAATCCTCTCACCACCCCTTCACTTCTGGCCTGTGCCCCAGTTCTATATTCACAAATAAATAAATTCTTAAAAAACAAAAATCAAAAAGGGTACATGAACTGCCTTAGTTTTTGGAAAAGTAAAATATGCACCCTCACTTTTTGATTGTATGTTTCAGTATAAAATCTCTGGGAGGGTGTGAAAAACGTCCTCAGGAACTGAGTGAGCAGGTGAAATTTCATTGAGGATTTAAGTTTTCCATCTGTAGGTAAGGAAGCTTCTGGATTTTACCCGGGCCCCCTCCCTTGCTAATCACAGCAAGTTTACACACTCCTCTGTGAGACACAAAGCAGATCCAGCATCAGGAGCTCAGTGTGGGCACAGGCACTGAACAGCTGTGCTCCTGTGCCCCTGAATCATTCACAGCACTGTGAGCCAACGTCACCTCAATTCAAAAAAAGAATAAAACCAGCAGATAAAATGTTTTCCAATCCAATTGCTCCCTCTCCTGCTGTCCATCCTACACCTGCATGCATACTTGGGGAAAGGGGACCCACTGGTTTCTAAGGTCTCTTCAAATTTAAAATATAAGGTCCAAAAGATAAATTCCTGATATCTGTGGCAACATGGGTAGAATTAAGGGTTGATGCTACCAAATGAAATTTTTTTTAAAGATTTATTTATTTATGCATACAGAACTGGGGTAGAGGCCAGAGGTGTAGAGTGGTGAGAGGATTCACCAGAGACAGAGTTGGGAGCAGAACAGGTAGATGAAGTACACTGCTGAGGGGAGCAGTGGGCGGGTCAGGAGAGGTCTGCCACCCATGTGGTCACCTCCGGGTTGGGGGATCCATCTCACACTGAAGCGGCTGCAGCTAGCTTGCAGTGCTGCATCCTAACCTGCTGCAGCACCAGGGACCACCTGGGAGGGCCCTGACTTCACTTTTATGTGGACTACAGAGAAACCAATAAAAGGGTCAAAGACAAACCTTGAAAGCTGACTACAGAGCTGGGCTAGAGAGGAGCAAAAAGGGGAGGGAAGAACACAAGGGGCTGTGGTGATAGTCATCAGGGTTGTGGTGGCGGGAGAAATACAGAGACCACAAGGAAGGGAGAAACCACATACTGTCAAGAAGTTAACAACATAAGAAAAAAGTACATTTAAAAATTTCAAAAATAAAACACAATTTCTAATATAAGGTAAAAGAATTCTCGATAAGCACATATGCTGTAATTTCATTTGGAACATTTCCATTTCACCACAAAGCCCACATAGTTTTAACAAGGACAGAAAAATAAAATGAGAGCATGCCTGGTGGCCTAAGGGTTGAGTCTCAGTACTATCACCATTGCAGTCTGATCCCCAGCCAGGAAACTGAATTGCATAGGGCACAGCAGACCTCTCCGGTCTCACCAGATGCTCCCCTCAGAACCCTCAGCAGTGGATTTCTGTAGATCTGCCTGTTCTGCTCCCTACTCTGTTTCTGGTAAATTTTGTCAAACCTCTGGCCTACACCCCAGTTCTTTTTTGTTTTTTATGCATCTAAGAACTGGGGTGCAGGCCAGAGGTGTCGGGGTGAGAGGAATCAACAGGAGAATGGGTAGCAGAACACGCAGATATACTGAAATCCACTGCTGAGAGGAATAGCAGGTGAGAAAGGAGAGGTCTGCCGCGCCATGTGGGTCAGCTCCCTGGCCAGAGATCGAACTCGAGCTACAGTTGCTGCCGACAGCTGCACTTTAGCCCCCTGAGCAACCAGGGAGGGTCACATTCCAGTTCTTCTAATAGAAGTTCACACCACTGGGAAATATGCAGGAATGTGGATAAGAAGTGTGGATATGCAAGTCCAATTAAAAGGCTGCAATTTGGGGCCTCTCTGGTGGCACCCCTGTTACCACTGAGGTGGAGTTCAATCCCTGGCCAGGCACAGCAGATAGCTCCTGTCTCTCCCACGGCTTCCCTCAGCCATGGTTTCAATAGATCTGCCTGTTCTGCTCCCCACTCTGTCTCTGGTAAATCCTCTTACCTCCACACCTCTGGCCTGTACCCCAGTTCTCCTACACATAAATAAATTTAAATAAAACTCATAAAATAAAATAATGAATATGGCAGTGAAAGCTCACATGCAGCCTTTCAGCTGAAGGCAGGTCTGCCAGGAGATGACCGGGGTCCCCATCACTGCAGCCCCAGGCTTCACCCACTGTTCAAAGAACCACACCTGCTGCTGTGTCTGCTGTGCAGACAGTGCAGCTTCAGCCTCGCAGGGCCTGATATAACCTCACCTCCCTCCTTTGTCCAGACACATCACCCGCTCTACCCACCTTGTGGCCACGTTCAAAAGAACTACCCCTCAGCAGAGAGTCATGCAGTAAATGCCCACACAGATTCTACCTCTACAAGGGACTCCTTATAGGAAAGATGGTGCTTTAAGCTCTTCTGTTTGCCTGTTTCTAGGTCTGCAATGTCAGAATTTTGCCCGTTTACTCCACACCGGCCACTGAGACTAGAGGACTCACCCTGCCCAGGCACATGTCTTAGTCCCCAGCCCTGGCCTGCAGGCAGCACAGGATGGACTCGCATCAGTGCTCCCTCCCTGACCACCACCTGACTTTCCCCAAAGTTTACAAGATTTTTAAGACTGAGCAACATAACTAAATAGCAATTTAAAGTCAAAACTTTAAATTATAGTAACGTGGATCAATGTCACTATTAACAACCTACTAAAACAGTAGAGGCACACCTCTTTATGATCCTCTACAACGGTCAAGATCGTGTCGATGGTGTGCAGAATCCCCATGGCCATTACTGTTTTGTCTTCAATTTCTTCATATTCATCACTCTGGAGAACTTTACCAAATATCTCCGCCTGCAAAGAGAAGCACACTCAACAATGAAGACTGTCAACCCAGCCCTCCTGCTCAGTCTGCAGAGGGCTGCACATGTACGCCAGCGCAGCCTGGACACCCGGAGAAAGGACAGCCCTGTCTCAACACAGCCATCCTTTCTCCCTAGTCACTCGGGTGGGGCATGGATTAGCCACCACAGCAAAGAACAAATGTCTACACTCCTGGGTCACTAGGGAGAGCCTGGAAACCTGAAATCAAGAAAAGCTAAAATAACAAACTTGTTAAAATGTTTAGAAGACAAATGCAAGAATCACTTAGAGAACAAGGCAAAGAAGACAGACATGGAAGACAAGAGAGACTCAGTCCTGGCCCAATATTCCCCATCAGGATGATAATGAAAAAAACCAGTAGGTAGAGTCAAAGAAACACAAGCAATTGCCCAAAACTGAAGGGAATCCAGTTCCAGGCTCAAAGCCCAGAAAGGGAGACTAGAGAAGGCTCACTTGGAGCAACACCCTTACAAAATCTCAGAAAATGAGAGATTTCAGCCTAACGATAGAAACTGCTAACTCAGAATTATCAGAGCAAACATTTGCAAGGCAGCATTTCGGTCCCATAAAACTGAGCTTGACATTCTAGAGTTTCCTTTATTGAGAGTGGTCAAGGTTTTTCTACCAAAGAAAAAGCCCCCTACGTGTGGGGCTCTGCCCTCCCGGCTGGCCAACAGGTGCTGGGCCACGCCGCCTCCTGACCCTCCCCAGTGCCCGGCCATGCTCTTTCCCGGCCACACCCTCTCCCAGACTTACTAGGTGCTGGGTCATGTCCACGGCGATGGAGGCCACCTCCTGGCTGTACTCGCAGATCATCTTCTGGATGACATTCGTCACATCGTCATTCTCTGTCTCCCTGATGATGTGCAGCAGTTCCTGCATCACAGGCCTCACGTGTGGCTTCATGTACTCCTTAGCTAACTCGGTTAGACAAGGCAAATAAAAGGAAAGACATCAGTCACCCACCAATAGTGAGAGCTCAGATAGCCCTTAGCCAAGGGCGCCAGGCTGGGACACACACCCGTCCTGTGGGAGTCCCACAGCTGCAGCGCCTCACGCCTGGGACATCAACTTGCCCTTGAGTGACAGCAGGGTTGTCGGTCGCCCGGACCGTCAGCAGCCCCACTGGCTACACATGGAGGCTTGCGCCTGCCCTGGGGCAGCAGGACACACGTGTTGAAGTTCTGCATGTGAAGGCTGTGCCGACCTGGTGTTCGGGACCCCACAACCTACTGTCCAATGCTCCTGTGCCCACCCTCCTGCCCACGTATCTTCACCCAGCATTGAGTAGTTGGCAAAAAGCTGCTCATGTTCCCCACAAATTTGGATTTATTATCAAATGTTTATTTGAACTTTGACTCCCAATCAAAGGGTTCTCCAACATCACTAGAAAGCCCTCTGCTGCTTTCGGAACTGATAGAATGTGGAAAGAAGGGGAGTTCTGCTGCATCCAGTCCAGCCCCCACATGGTGACAGAACTGAACCCCCAGGTCTGTGTCCAGTCTGCACTTGCGCCCAACAATTATCAACCTGCTTCCTCAACTAAAATTTTTCATAAAACCACACTCCTGAAAATAGCTAGAATAAACTGCAAAATTCTGGTGGAGCAATACCTCAAAAATCCCAAGCCTATACTCTGAGACCCAGAGCACTCTCTCTGTGAGGAGGGAGGTAAAAGAAACTCTTGAGGAGACTGTACCGACCCTGAAGATATCCGCTGCCCTCACCTTGTGCCTGGTTAGAAACAAGCGACTGCAGGGCCAGTGCCGCCTCCACCTTGACCGGCATCTCCTTGTCGTCAATCAGGCTCTTCTTGGCCAGCTCCACCGCCGTCCTCAGGTTGAGCTCATTGTGAAACTTCAGGGAACTGAAGGCATGGAGCACCCAGCAAGACTGTGGTGGGGAGACGCGGGCAGGGCCCTGCTGGGTGAGCCTTGCAACAAAGTCACACACGGAGCCCAGCACCAGCCCCCCCTGCCTCCAGGAAGGGCTCTCACTATGTTGGGGGGGGGGGTCAGTTTATTAGCCTTAGTGTCTTACTTCCAGATTCCCCATCTTTCTACCTAGGCACAACCACATTTTCCACAAAAAGAAAACAGTCAAATCTAAGGGTATCTGTACACTGACTGGCTTCATTTTCCACTCACATGAGTGTGAGGATTTTGTTTGTTAATCCTTACTTCTTTTTTTCACAGTAGAGGATTTCTCCCTCAGACACGGTCCACCGGTTTCCGAGTCAGCCAAACGCCCACAGTCCTCACCTCCCTCCCCCGCACCACCTCCTCAATTCTCCACTCTCCCTGGAATGAGGAACTTAAAACTGATATAGATTACCAAATTTCAAACTATTAAGCCACAGAATTACATCATTATTGTACTTGTTAATTTCTCTACATGCACAAAATAATCAACGGTGCTTCATCTGAATCTCTAAGGACTTTTATCAAGAGAACCTTGATTCCTGTGGCACGGAGGTGGCTGCCCACCTCCGGGGCATGCCCACTGCACAGCCTTCTCCATCTGACCAGATGTTTTCCAGGGACCGAGATCTCCTGTTTACTCCATGCTTCAGAGTGCAGAGACATTAACATATGCTGTTTTTTAACAAGGCTATCTGTGTTGACGTCATTATGAAAATAAATGTGAGGCCCTTGAATTAGAAGTTCTATTTTTACACCTTCATAAACATATTGGTTCTAGAAATAATATACACATGGGACACAAACAGCATTGACATGGATTGGTATTTTTCTCCCTTTCACTAAGGCTTAGCTACATGCTGGAAATCAGGGTAAAGATTTCAGATACAGCAGAATGTCACCCTGTTCTGGCCACCGAAGGAGAATCTGTCTGTGAATCCACACAGTGCACAGCTGTGGCACCAGTGGCCTCTGCAGAGGCAGCATGTGAGGCCAGTGTGCAAAGTGGAAAATAACTACCACACTTTCCCTACTTATGAGTTAATTTTTTATTCAGCTTATGTGACCATAAGGGATATTCTGATAGACTTCATTTCACCATGATAGGTGGTAAATAGTGAGTTTACTCAAGAAATGTGAATTTTTTCAAAAACAACTTGTTGAATGATTACCTTACAGATGAAATTTCAATGATACAGAACAGACATAAGAAAAACTCACTCTCGCACGAAGATATCCTAGGTTAGACAATAATAACGGGAACACGTGATTCTGCAGCAACAGCTCCATCTGGTCCTTGAATAAACTCTTCTGTTAGGAAACAGAAATTGAGCTTCACTGACTTGTCCACAGCAAAGGTCACTTCTTAATGTATGTCTAGTCTAACTCCCACTGAACATACTTCTATTCATAATTCTGAGAAATTATTTGACCTCTATATTACATACTTTAAAATAAGAAATAGTGCCTTAAGTATAATCTGGCATTAATTTTTGTAAAGATCAGAAATAGCACTAAAGTCACTTTGTATCTTTCTTATATAGCAATAGATTCATATGAAAAAAAATGACAAAGTCAAGTTTTTATCAAAGAAACAGCTGAAAGAAAGAAGGCTATTTACAGTCAGCTCAACTTTCATATTCTCTTATTTGCCTGTGCTTCACATTTTAATTAAGTAAATTAAATTTTGAGTAGCTTAACCTTCAATAAAATATCAGCTAGGGAACCAATCACATGCAGGGCTCCATCTTTCTTCCTAGGGTCAAAGTTCGGGTCTGTTAGAATTTGATAACAGAATGCCATCATTTTTGGCAACACCTAAAGAAATAGAAGAATCCATTTTAGTCTACATGAGCTTTTACTATAGTATTAACTATGGCGCATTAACTTTCAAAAGTAAAGCCATTTTAGTGTTTTACCAAGCAATTACAATGAAGAAAATAAAATAACCCTTCTCCCTTATTAAGACAGAAACACAGAATTAAAGTGGCAGGTTAGTAAAAAACAGCTTTTCAAACAAACACTAGCGGTATCTGTGCAATCACCACCAGTCACTTGCAGGTCAGGATTTACAGAGACAACTATACCTCTTTTCTTTTCTTCGCAGCAGTGTATAAGAGGGTCTGCGCTGCTGTGGTAGGAGAAGCATAGTCTTCAAAAATATCTAAGATGTAAAAAGGTTAAACCATGTTAGTAACGACATCATGACTTACTCTAGATCTTAAACCGCTACTCCAAAATGAAGACGTACAACAGACCACGTGTGAAGGTGACGTACAACAGACCACGTGTGAAGGTGACTTACAGCAAAAGCAGGCGAACTACGGCGTTAGCACCTCATCTACCCAGCCCTTTAAGTTGTCCTTTTGAACACTCATATTAAAGTTAACAATACATGTGGAGTACATCTGTTCCCCTGAGGACAGGAAAAGCACTTTATCTAAGCACAACAAAAACTTGGTGCTTGCTGTGTGCAGGACAGAAACTAAAGCTCCAACAGGGAGCCCTGGGGGCTGACGGGGTGGGAGGAGGACGCACACTCAGGCATACCTCACCAGGCACACCTCAGGACATGGTGACAGCGACCAAGGAGAGGGCTCAGACGCTGATTTAAACGGGGAGTCGGGAGAGCCCACCCTGCCCTCCGCTGCCTGACACACTGACCAGTGTTGGGCGAGTGGGAGGGCCCACGTGAGCACTGAAGGGACGCTCTCTGGGGGGGGAACAGTTGGCTCCACCAGCACTTGATGGCTGTCCGCTCAACACAGACTGATTTAAAATACATCACTCCATGCCACACAAATTCTCAAACTCCAGAGTAGGCAGTTTTAGATGAGAAGTATCTGATATGTCCATATTTAAGTGTTTATAAAAAAATCTAAGTGTTTGCTTCAAGTATAAAATAAGAACAGAACAGCACCACTGTCACACGTCCTTGGTGCTTGCTTTGAGCCAGGTGCAGCATTAAGCCTTTACAGTGGGTAGAACCTGCACTAAGTAGCTCATGAGTATGTGTTACCCCACCGAACCCCCTAGGCACTATCACCACTGCTCACTGAGAGTAGAAAGCACAGCACCTCAGAGAGGTTCAGTGACTTGCTACTGAGGTTCAGTCACACCTGGTGGGACTAACACACAAGACTCATCTCCTATATTTTTCACCAAATCTAAAAACATTATTAGTCACAACACAGGACTGTTTTGTTCATACAAATAACTACGAGTGACAATTATAGAAAGGGAGGACTACAAGTCAAATCCACAGAAGGGTGCCCTCTCACCCCTTTGAGCATGGTCTGTATGGAAGAGACTGGAAAAAAACGAACGTTAACAAGGACAAGGGAATGAGGACAGTCACCCCTGCAGGGAATGTGACTTGGTGCAGACTCTATGACGTAGCACAGAGGCCCCAAGTGACAGGCCCACTGGGGCTGAACAGTCAGTCATGGGACCCCCACATCTCTTAACTCCCTGGAGGAATATCTAGTCCCTAAAATGAGGTCAGCGAAATCGGGTGCTCCTGCAACATATAGAGATGAGAGGGCCTCCTGAATGAGAAGAACCCAGCTAACACACAGCACATCAAAAGGCCTGGAAAGAGATGCCCCACAGAGCAGCAGCACCACAGCGGGCACCCCAGGAGACTCCTGATGGCATCAGTGCCCGCCAAGGGGTGAGCAGGAGCTTCCTCTCCCACCCCCCGAGCCTCAAGCCCAAAGTCAGCATCAGAGTTTACCACTCAGAGCAGACTCAGGGACTCTGACAAAAGTAATAAATCTGCTTAGAAGCAGAACTGTGGTACATGATTTTACATATCCAGGAAGGAACGAAGTCATCCCGATTACCAAATTTCATCCTTATGTACTCATACGGGTCTTCTTGCCACAGCTCTTCATCCTCATCTTTATAGCACATCACAGAAAAAATCACATCTTCAGAGATATTCTGAGAAGGCAGGAGACAAAATAAATGACACGTGAGCGCAGATGACTCTGGTGTTTTCATGGCCAGTGATGTGCTCATGGACGACAAAGGGCAGGGGCATCCATTCTCCTGACTGTATCCACCCTCCGGTTAACCTTGAATTTGGGAAAGCAGAGGAGCAGGCAGGCCAGGGGGGTATTAAAAGGTCCAGGAGAAGATGTCTTGGCAAGGGCTTAGAGGCTGGGGTGCTCAGAGGACCGCATGCAGCAGCCACAGAACATGAAGGCTGCGAACAAATCATTTCAAACACAACTGGACGCTTTCAAGAAGAGAGTCTTACAAAGCCACAGTTATGACTACTGCTGTATTCCCTTTTTTTAAGTTTTATTTTTATTTAGTTATGCATACAAGAACTGGGATACAGGCCAGAGGTGTGGGAGGTGAGAGGATTCACCAGAGACAGAGTGGGGAGCAGAACAGGCAGACCTACTGAAATCCCTTGCTAGATGTCAGAAAGGAGAGGTCTGCTGCATCATGTGGGTCAGCTCCCTGCCCAGGGAATCAAACTCAGGCTGCAGTGGCTAGTGATAACTTGATATACCACTATATTTCTTATTGTGAACATTTTTACAGTTCTGTATTGGTGCTGAAATGTCAAGATATCAAGAATGTGAAGATGTTACTTTCTTCTTTCATCGTCTAAAACCCAGTTCCCTATTCCTGAAAAACTGAGCTCACAGGAGGAGAGCACATCCCAGAGTCTCTGAGACCCACCGCCAACACCCTTCTGAGTCCGTTAGAATTCTAACAACCACACATGTGAGAACTGAACTGTCTCTTATTCTTTACATTACATAATGCTAGGAAAGGCACAGCCTAAAGGTCACAACGTTCTTGTTCTCACATTTTAGTGATGTAAAAATAAGGACAAAGTAGAGAAAAAATACTGTCACAACTCACTTAACTTTACAGGAACATATAAAGTGAACTTCATAGTTTTAATAATTGCAAAGAAATTATCATTATTTGATCAAGGAGACTGGGCAGGTTACCAAGATGATCACAAAAATAGTGGAAAAGATACTCTATTTTAGATAACACTAAACAAAATCTATTCTGAGTACCAAGAAAAAAGTAAAAGAATTTATTTTTCCATTTTCATACCATTTAGAGGTTACAGGATTTAAAACTCATCATTTAAAAGGAAAAACATTCAGTTCCTAACATCCTTCAATCATCAAAATGATCTGTATGCTAGTAAGTATTTATTAATGGGTCATAATTTTTCACACTCCTACGCTCTTCAATTAAGTAACAATATTGAATTCTAACCTTTAAGACAAAGGGCCTCCCTGGTGGCACAAGGGGTAAGTCAAGGCTCACTGCTATCAAACTATCACAGCCACTCCAGCACAAGTTTGATCCCTAGTCAGGGAGCTGGCCCACACAGCACAGCGGACCTCTCCTGTCTCACCCACTATTCTCCTCAGCAGTGGATCTGCCTGCTCTGCTCCCAACTCTGTCTCTGGGGAATCCTCTTACCCTCCACCCCACACAACTCAGGCATACACCCCTGCTGTTATACGCATAAATAAAGAAAATAAATCTTAAAAAAAAAAAATTTAAATAAAGAATGTGAGCATCTACTATAGCACTTAACCAAAAATAAAAACAGTGTAGTCAAGAACTTATTTGCTTATACTGACAAAAGAAAATGGTTATTTCCTACAAAATAACACTACCTTAATACAGTCCTGATGGCTGTTTCCAAATACTTTGACACAAAATACCTCACCTGATCCAAGCAACCTTTAGAGAAAAGGGTAGAACACATCAGTTGACTCAACAAAGGAGAAACTGAGGCTACGGGCAGCCCAAACCAGATAAACAGAATCAACCCCCAAACCCAAAAACCCAAAGGTCCCCTCTTCTCCAAGACTAAAATGATCAGGCCTTTTCCAGCAGAGGACAAAACGTGTCTTCTTTCAAACTATGACAGAAAGAGGGAGATGAAGTCCAGATACAGGACTAGCCACAACCCTGTGTCTTTCTCCTGAAGCATTTCGGGGAGCTTCCTCATACCCACCTGTATGTGTGGCTTCAGCTGCTTCCAGGTGACAGAGTGAACGACGCCTTGGTTAAGATAGTTGAACGCCTGCTGAAGAACACGGGGGGCTACATATTCTTTCTGTCTGTACTGATCTAAAATTTTAAGTAGTACCTATTGGAAAACAGGAAGAGAAAATGCAGAAGGTAAACAATCCTATGGTTTCAGGACTGCTCATAGGAAGAAAGATCTAAAAATCCAGACTCCACCAAGATAAAAGCTGTCAGTATTTGGGGGGCGAGGGGGGCTTGGGGGGCAGACAGCAACAAAGAGGCGTGTCCTCCTGCTGCTCAGTCCCTGTCCTGCTACTGACCTGGGGGGTTGCTCATGACAAGTCCACAGCCTACTCCACAGACAAGCTCCTCCAATAACTGAACCCTGCTGAAAATAATTATGACAGATAGGAGGGACATGGGGATCAAAAAAATCCCATGCAGAGAAACCAGACAAGCCTCAGACCTCTATAAAGAGCAGTATTTCAAACCTGAGTGGGCAATGGAATGGACTTAATGGCTGTCCATCTCAGGGTAGAAATGACAAATTCTCCAAAAATTAGTATTTAAAAAAAAAAGTCTAGAGGCAACTGATCAGCCCCCAGAAAGTATCAAGTTGGCTCCTGAACTAAAACCTCAGACCAAAATAAATTCCAGATGGAAAAACACTTTAAAAAAAAAAGAGTAAATGAATGCACAGAATTACTAGAAATGAATAGAGAAGAATTTTATTATCTCAGACCACAGAAAGTAAAAATGCAACACAAAACCATAAAATTCTTCTTTAAAAGCTTTTTTTAAGTGGTTGTTTCTACGGAAAGCGCCACACCAACAGCTGCTGTGACTGGCAAGACCATGGCCGGGGCACCCCTGGAAACCCCTGATCTGCAGAGCCTGGCTGATGGCTACTGAAAACCCAACTGCTGATAAGTCATTTGTGTTCTTTCAAAACATGAGTGGATTTCATAAATTCACAATGTGAATTCCCTTCAAGTTTGTTAAACTCATCAGAGAGCGTTTCACAGCCTGGAAGCACCCCCCTGGCAACATGAACCCAGGCTAAGCATACCAGTCCTGACAGAGCCGCTTCACACAGAGAGGAGGCAGCGGAGGCAAGTACAAATGGGAAAGGAGAGACCATTGCTGATTAGAAAACTGTTTTCAAGTACCAGGAATGTACACCTTAAATAACCGAGGTGCATACAAATCATGGCGCAAATGCCATAAAAGGCAGTGTGTGCATGTGTGTGTGTGCATTTGTATATGCAATGCACACACAGGTGCACACACACAGGTGTCTGGTGACACTACAGAAACTCTAATCACTACTGAGCATGGTTCTCGAAGGCACTGAGTTGGGGGTGGGCAGTGGGGCTCAGGCACCGTGGGAAGGGCAGCGGGCAGTGCTGGTTAGCTCCTGTCTGTCCCAAGGGTCACAGCAGATGCTGAATCAATAGTCTGATACATGATTCTCTAATTTGCCAACAGACTGTCTCATGGGACAACACAATAATCAGTAAGATCGTTATCACCATGCTTTCCATTACTGTTGCAAGGCACTATTTAGAAAGGAGAACCCATAAAATAACACTAGACCAAAAGGGAATGTTCCATAAAAGTAAACATTCCACCTACAATGACATGTTTGGAGTATTTTATGACACTGACACTGAAGGCGATGACTCTGCATAGATTTGTAAAAATCCAGAAACACCCTCTAGAACAATAGAGCCTTTTGCTGCATCTGCTGGATCTTCACTGCAGTGTAGGCCTGCCCCAGGCCGCCTGATCACCATGACTCTGCACCTGCTCTGGGTCACAGCGGCAGCCCTGCAGAGGGCTCACCTTCCCTGAGAACAGGTAAGTCCTCAGCCGAAATTCTTCACTGCTGAGCTCGTGTCCTCTTGAGATGGATCCATTTGTATTCCATAAGTCTTTAGATATAAAGCTTATGATAAAATGGTGAGCACCCAAGAACCCAAGCACGAGACCTCAGAAGTGATTGAAGGGAGGCAATAATAGCAACCAGCCTAGCACCATCCCCATCTCAGTCACCAGATGTGAGAGGTGTGAGTGCAGCCAGGTATACAGAGGGGCCAATGTGCCCTGGGACATTCGCTGCTAAACTGACTGCATGTAAGAGATTCTTGGAGCTGCTACTTTATTATCTGCAAACATACAATATAATAAAATGTGTTTGTAATGTGCTTTTAAATGGATGGAAATGACCACTTTCAGCAGTGAAGTCCTTCTATTCAAAAAGCACAAGTTTATTACCTGCTGGATTCCAACAGCATAGGTTTTCAAGAAGAATTCAGAAAATTCAAAGTATTCTTTTGTGACATTTCCTGGGCTTCCATATCTTAAAATGCAAAGAAAAACGTTTAAACATTGTGAATTTTAGAAACAAAGCATGCTCACTGGTTTAAATACAGATTCTGGTGGAAAGGGATACTCTACTAAGGCTTAAAACTCACACTTGTCCCCCTCTTCACAACCCCCAAAATGAAAGAAAGAGTCATGCATGTAGCCTCTGGCCCATATGTACATTTCCCAGAAGCCTTCACCTAGAGCTTTGACCAAGAGCAACTAATGAACAAACAGTGCAAATAAAAGCATGGTATAGCTGACAGCGTAGTTGTTTCTTTGAACAAATGCTTACAAGGTTAGACCACAGTTAGGCTCCTGTAGGGCTGAGCACCAAGCATCTGCCTGTGGAACTCCTGGTCCTTGCCAGTGTGCTAAACAATGTACCTGCCCACTCTTTGTGCATAAGAATAGAGAAGACCCTCCCCCCACTCCAGGGTCACCGGAGTGCTCTCCTGCCCCCTCAACCCCCCAGGCCTTGGGGCAGCAGGGCTATCAGGCCCAGAGAGCCAGCACTGCATCCTGGCCAAGCCTCAAGGGAGTGTAGCAGAGTTACCGTTCAAAGAGCCGCGCCACGATGTGCAGTGCCCACTTTTTGCATTTCCACCAGACCAGCTCTGGCCTGTCGTCCTGGTCAATCTGCAGCGTCTCCTGGAGGACAGAACAGCCAGGTGAAGCCAATCTAGACAAGCAGCAGAGAAACCTAACTTTGGTAAAGACTAAGTCAGACTGAAACATGAATTTATTATTTTTTTAATTTTACACACACACACATATATATTTAAAGATTTAATCATTTATGCACAGAACTTGGGTACAGGCCAGAGGTGCAGGGGGTGAGAGGATTCACTAGAGACAGAGCTGGGGGCAGAAATTCACTGCTGAGGGGCACAGCAGGCGGGTCAGGAGACATCTGCCACGCCATGTGGCTGGGGATGGAACTCGGGGTGCAGTGGCTATAGCAGTTTCATGGTGCTGCACTTCAATCTGTTTTGCCATCAAGGAGGTACTTATATATTTTTTACATCATTCATTTTATACAATATTTGCTTTATCATCTTGCCCATGTTCCCTAAGAAATTCCCACCACCAATTCACCAGTGTGCCATCACCATAGTCCCTTGTGCTCTTCCCACCCATTTTGACCCAATTTTCTCCTCCCCACTGAAGAATGTCTCTGGTTTATAGATGCCTGTTGATTTTTATTTTTACTTTGTTGTAATTACCTTTCTCACTGCCCCAGCCCCTTATTTGGGAATGTAGTCCCTCCTACATTCCTCCTATACGTGAAGCCATCGGCATTCCTCTCTTTCTTTCTGGCTTACTTCACTAAGCATGATTCCTTCCAGCTCCATCCATTTTGCTGCAAAAGGCATGAGTTTGTCCTTTTTGATTTTTGAGTAATATTCCATTGTGTATATGTACCACGTCTTCTTGATCCAGTCATCTATTTTTGGGCACTTGGATTGTTTCCATAGCTTACCTATGTAAATAGCATTGCAATAAACACAGGGCTGTAGGTGCTCTTTTGAATTAATGTTTTTGCATTTTCTTTGGGTAGACACCCAGAAGTAGAATTGCTGGGCGATATAGGAGATCCATTTTTAGCAATCTGAGGAACTTCCTCACAGCTTTCCATAGTGGTTGGACCAATTTGCATTCCCACCAACAGTGTGGGAGAATTCTTCTTTCCCCACATCCTTGTCAACATTTGTTGTTGCTAGTTTTTTGTGCTATTCTCAATGGTGTTAGATTGCAACTCATTGTAAGTTTGATTTGCATTTCCCTGATTAGTAGTAACATTGAACTTTTTTTCATATGCCTGTTGGCCATTCGCATTTTCTTTGGAGAAGTCTTTTTAACACTTCTGCCCATTTTCTGACTGGGGTGTTTACTTTGTTTTTGTTGAGTTTTGTCAGCTCTTTGTAGAACTTTGTGATTAGTTCATTACTAGTATTGTGTACAAAATTTTTCTCCCAATCAGAGAGGTGTCTCCTTGTTTTGGTTGTCGTCTCTTTTGCTATACAAAAGCTCTTTAATTTGATGCAGTCCCTACTGTTTATCTTCACTATCTTTGCTTTGGGTGATAAGTCTTTAAAAATGTTACTGAGGTATATGTCATGTAGTGTTTTGCCTATATTTTCTTCTACATATTTTATGGTTTCAAGTCTTATGTCTAGTTCTTTGATCCATTGTGAGTTGTTTTTTGTGCATGGTGTGAGGTGGTAGGCTAGCTTTATTCTTTTGCATGTAGTAGCCCAGTTTCCCAGCACCATTTATTGAACAAACTTTCTTTGTTCTATTCCATATTCTTTACTCCTTTGTCAAATATTAGTTGTCCATAAGTCTATGGGTTTACTTCTGGGTTTTCTATTTTATTCCATTGGTTTGTGTGTTTGTTTTTGTTGCAGTACTTTGCAGTTTTGATGATTGAGGCTTTGTAGTATAGTTGACACCTGAGAGTGTGATACCTCCATTTCCCTTCTTTTTAGTTAGGACTGCTATGGCTATCCAGGGTTTTTTGTGGCTCCATATGAATTTAATTAGTACTTGTTCTATTTCTTTGAAGAATGTCATTGAAATTTTAATTGGAATAGCATTGATCTGCAAACTGGTTTTGGTAATTTTGACAGTGTTAGTCCTTCCCATCCATGAGCAGAGGATGTCTTTCCATCTCTTTGGGTCTTCTTCTATTTCTATTAACAATGTGAAACATGAATTTAGGCTTCCATGCACATGCAAGCTTTTGTCTTATGGCTCATTCATAGGTAGAAGTAAACAAAGTTGATTTCAACTAAGTATCACTATATTTCACAATTATCTTGTATCTTTAAAAAAAATCCAAGGCCTCCCTGGTGGCCTAAGAATTGAATCTCAGTGCTATCACCACTGTGGCCTGAATTTGAACCCTGGCCAGGGAGCTGACCCACATGGGGTGCAGCAGACCGCTCCTGTCTGGTCCACTGTTCCCCTCAGCAGTGTGTATCAGTCAATCTGCCTGTTCTGTTCCCCATTCTGTTTCTGGGGAATCCTCTTACCCACCCATACCTCTAGCCTATACCCCAGTTCTTCCATAAAAAATAGTAAGTGAAGATCCAAATAAGTGGGAACCAACATATAAAACACCATATCTCCTGTGGAAACTCTGGGATGACAGGGGTTTCTATGTCTCAATCTGGATGACAATATGACATGTGTGTGTTTGTTAACATTTACAGAACTGTGCAAAAAGTTCTGTAGAGCTATGCATGAAATTAAACCTCAACAGGCTTTGTCCCATAATATGGACAAAGAAAAGAATAAAGCATATTTCAAGAAAAACTTGAATGGTAAAGTATTTGAGGTGTTTTTTTTTTTAAAAAAAGATTTATTTATTTATTCATACAGAACTGGGGTATAGGCCAGAGATGCGGAGGGTGAGAGGCTTCACCAGAGACAGAGTGGGGAGCAGAATAGGCAGATCCATGAAGTACACTGCTGTGGGGAGCAGCAGGCGGGTCAGGAGAGGTCTGCTGCTCCATGTGGTCACCTCGAGGGCAGGCGGGAATCGAACTCATGCAGAAGTGCCTTTAGCTTCTTAGTGCTGTGCTTTAACCCGCTGCGCCACCAGGGAGGGCCTATTTGAGGTATTTTAACTGAGTAACTGAACTAGCTATCTGAGCAAATTTAATCCATAAACTACAGCATCTTTAAAGTTACATATAAAAATAACACACTGAGTCAAACCGACCAAGCCGCTGAACTTAGAATTTAGGAAACAGATATTCTCAGTCACCACTTAGCAAAGAGCAAGGGTTAGCAAAACTTCTGGAGAGCACCTGGCAAGACTAGCCAGGCCACAAACGCCTCCAGGAGTCCATCCAAAGAAAGCAGTCACATAAAATTTAACTACCTCCTTAGAATTTAAACACTAAAAACCAAAAACAGCCTAAACATGTAGCAAATAAAACCTACAACAAAAGTGACAAAGTATGTAAACATTATCATAAAAATATTTTTAATAGATTTTAAATGAAAAATTACTTTCAAAACAGTGCCTACATGAACCACACTAATAAAAATAATAGGGTTGTTTTTGGATGCAGAAAAAAAAAACTAGAGGAATAAATACCAAGTTTTTTGAAATGGCTTTTATCATTTTTAATAGTACAGAATAGAGTGACTTTGTATTAATGTCGCTCATCTGGACTTCCTAGAAATTAGTGTGTTATTACTAGCTCTTCCTAGCAAAGTAGCCACTTCTTAGCAGACTGAGACAAGGAGTCCGTCTACAACCAATAAAACTAACCCAGGCCCTCTGGCATTTCTGAGGACCAGATGTCTTACCGGGGGGACTGTCCGGTCAATGATGGTCCGGAAGATCTCCATCCATGCAGTCATGGTTTGGTTGTTCACCAGCTGAAGAGGCAACGCATACTGGAAACAAAAGAACAGCATTAGCACCAATCCTCCCCTCCAAGGTAGACCTGGCTTCCTTTACCTCGGGAGACTGAAGGACGTCTTGGGGGGGGAAGAGGGAGCGGGTACTGGGTGATGTGAAAATGGTGATTGTGATGCTGTGACCATGATCAATATAAAAGACAACCTAGAAATGTGCATGCTATGAATTGCTTCTCTGGGCTATTCTTTTTAATGAAAGAAATTAATAAATTCTCATTCATTTGACATTAAATTATAGATAAGGAATATTAGCCACTTGCTCCTTTACCACTTTCCCCATTTTATTGAACTCTGTTAGACAGATAATCCTTGAAAGTCTAAGATGTGTGATAATTCCATATAAATACTGAAAGTGATGCCCTCAGTGAGGTTAGTTAGTAGACCTCACCTCCCAGAATTAACCTATTTCTGTGTAAGAACTCACTCTAGTCACCTCAATGGAAATCTTTTCAATGACTCTGCTGTTTCTGTGAGTGCTCTGTTGCACTGCAGGGTGCAAGAAGAGGCACAGCACCCCTGCACCTGAATTCCAAACCTGCCACCTGCCAAGCTCCCTCAAGAGCCATGAGAGACCTTGCCCTGGAGTTTGGGGATGGGAAGAAGGGGTGGGTCACAGTGTGGAGTTACTTGCAGCAGGGATAAAACAGGGGCGCAGGAGTATCTGGGACACCTTCCCAGAGGAAAGGACGTGTAGCCTGAGTCTCAGGGCAAGTACAAGCTGAACAGGGCATAAGGGGAAGAGATGCTCAAGGCAGAGGAGAGCATTTTAAAGGCTCAGAAGTGAGAGAGGGTGGAACAGTTCATGAGGTCAGGAGGATTTCTGTATGGCCAGGTGAGAATAATGAGGGGCAAGTTGGAGAGGCAGAGGGTGTTTTCAGACATGGAGCAAACACCATGAGGACACTATAAACTTAGCCCACCATACACGTCAACTGGGCAAGTCAGAGAGATTCTGTGGCCTACTCTCTCATAAGGGTGTAAGTCTGGGCGCAAGGGGCAGGGGTCATGTCTCAGCACTACCACTGAAATGGCCTCAGTTCAATCCCCAACCAGACAGCTGACACACATGGCACAGCAGACCTCTCCTGTCTCACCCATTACTCCCCTCAATATTGTATTTCAATAAATCTACCTGTTCTATTCCCCACTTGGTGAATCCTCTCACCCCTAACACTTCTGGCCTACACCCCAGTTCTACACAAAAATAAATAGGACTTAAAAAAAAAAAAAAACAGAAATACATGTGAGGATATGCAGTCATTTCTTAATGATGATTGATGTTCACTGAGCCGTTGCTGTGACCCAGGCCCACTGGCACACCAGTCTACGTGGGCAGCAGAGACTGACCTGGACAAGGGCGTAGAAGATCTTCAGGATCTGCTTCTGCAGCAGCACTGAGTAATGAGAGGGGTCGGGGAGCAGCTGCAGAGCCCGCTGCTGCACTCGGGGCAAGAAGATCTGCATGGCAGCCACCAGGGGTTCTCTCTCCTCTGCCTTCTTATATCTGCATAAGCAAGGCAGAAAGAGGAATCACTTCTCCCCACCAAAGAACATGGAAGCCAGATAAAGCTAGCAAAACAAAACATTCCAACTGTTTAGTACAGAGAATAAATTAAACTTTGAGCACAGATCCCTATTTTCACAAAATACCTAAAATCTTCCTAGAAAGAGACTGGCTGGGTTTTTTGTTTGTTTTTTTAGATTTATTTATTTATGCATACAGAACTGGGAACTGGGATACAGGCAGAGGTACAGGGGTGGTGAGAAGATTCACCAGAGACAGAGTAGGGAGCAAATCAGGCCGACTGATGAAGTACACTGGTGAGGGGAGCAGCGGGCGGGTCAGGAGAGGTCTGCCACGCCATGTGGTCACCTCCGGGGCTGGGTATCAAATTCATTCTGAATATGGCTTTAGCTTCTTAGTGCTGTGCTTTAACCCGCTGCACCACCAGGGAGGGCCCGAAAGAAACTAAATTTAAAGAATTCAACTTTCCTATAGATTTTTTAGTATAGAAATTATTTTTCATAACACAATTCTTCTAAAATACAAGTTGACATGTCAGTTAAATATCCTTATTACACAATAATGTCTTCTCCTCCATTCTTCTTATATTACCCTAAATTAAGCCAGTTTGTTAGAGTTTGTGGGCTTCCCTAGTGGCACAGGGGATAAAGTCTCAGCACTATCAAACTATCACCAGCCGCTGCAGCATGAGTTCAATCCCCATCCAGGGAGCTGACGTACATAGCGCAGCAAAGACCTCTCCTGTCCCACCTGCCCACTGCTCCCCTCAGCAGTGTACTTCAGTGGATCTGCCTGTTCTGCTTCTCACGCTATCTCTGGGATCCAATCAACCCCTGCCCCCCAATTCTGGCCTGTACCCCAGTTCTTATATGCATAAATAATAAATACATCTTTAAAAAAATGGTGTGAATAGTTTACAAACTATTTAGAATACTATAACAGGTCTAAAGGTCCTCTAAAGATTCTGCAGCAGGGCCCACCTCATGGCACAAGAAGTTAAGTCTCTGTGCTGTGAGGCTATCGGCAGCCACTGCAACACAAATTCAATCCCAGGCCAAGTAGGTGAACCACATGGTGTAGCAGATCTCTTCTGTCTCACCCAATACTCCCCTCAATAGTGTAAGTCAGTATATCTGGCTGTTCTACTCCCCACTCTTTGGACAGTACTCTCGCCAACCCCTCCCTACCTCTGGCTTGTACCTCAGTTTTTATATGCATAAAAAAATAAATTTTGGCCCTCCCTGGTGGCACAACTGGTTCAAGTGCAGCACTGCATGCTGGCTGCAGCTGCTTCAGCATGAGTTCGATCCCCAGACCCAGAGGTGATCCACATGGCATAGCAGACCTCTCCTGTCCTGCTCCCTACTCTGTCTCTGGTGAAGCTTCTCATCACCCCTGCACCTGTGGCCTATACCCCAGTTCTGTATGCATAAATAAGTGAAATCTTTTTAAAAAAAAAAAAAAAAAAAAAGAATATTCTGCAGCAAATGGGAAGTCTGTGGAACCAACTCTGCTTTCATTCACAAAGGGAACGTCTGGTCTTTCCCTGTACCCACAGGACCCTCTTGTTAGATACAGGGTCCCACAGCTCCCGTGGAAGGTAGCTTCCATGGCAAAAAAAAACATCACTTGCCAGGAAACTAACATTTTCAATCTCATGTTCAAAAAAGGTCTGGCTTTAACAACAAGCTCACATCTGTGTGACATCCAGAAATGTCGGGGTGCCTCTGTCTCAGCGCTCCCAGGATAGCGATGGTTAGGCCTGAGAGAGCTTGGGAAGCTGGGAGGCCCCTGGAGGATCCAGGCCACAGAAACTGAAGAGGCACATGTGTGCGTGGACGTGCCCAACTACGTGTGACCCGCGTTTCCCTACCACTGGACCCTGCAGAGCAGCCAGCATGCACCAACTCTGTGTACTCTGTTGGTCCGGGGGCCCAGCGGGGCCACTTACTCATAGGTCTTCACCAGCTGGTAGAGACACAGCAAGCTTCCAAGCCAGCTCCCACTGCTCTGGGACCTCAGGTAGTGGTCTATCCGGTCCACGACGGCGGGCCAGTGACCAGGGAAGTCGTACTTAATGATGGCACGGAGGCACATTGTCAGCTGGACCCTGTAAGGTAGGGAAAGTCCAGAACCTGAGTGGTGGCAGCCACAAGCAAGGACTGTGGGCACCAGCCACCTCTGGGGCAGGATGGAAGAGCAGCCCTCAAAGCTCAGCTCACTGAAAACACAGAATCCTGACTTCCTGAAATGAGTGAAACTTTCAATTGTTTTTTCTTGATACAACTTTGTTTTTTGGGGAAACAAAGGACTTACAAATAAGTTCATTCCAACAAAAACACTGGGCCTCCCAGGTGGCACAGAGACACCGACTGTCTCAGCACTATCAAGGTATGGCCAACGACTGTGGCCTGAGTTCCATCCCCAGCGAGGGAGCTGACCCACACGGCACAGCAGACCTCTCCTGTCTCCCTGTTGCTCCTCACAGCAGTGTATTTCAGTGGAATTCCCTCCTGTTCTGTTCCTCACTCTGTCTCTGGTTAAGTCCTCATACTCCCTTCCCCACTCCTCTGGCCTATACCCATTCTTCTAAAAAAAAAAAAAAACAAAAAAACCCCTCCCCCCAAAGAAATAGTGAATCAACCTCAGTCTTGCAAAATTTCTCAACTATTATACTTTGCACTTTGCATTTTGGTGATCAAATTCTAAGGGGAGAACAAATTAAACAGATACAGTACTGGTCCACTTCAATTAGTCAATCAACCTAAATATGGTCAAAGTAAAACTTTGGCTGTGTAACAGCAGGAGGCGTCCCTTTGAGACAAAACCTCAAGCAGCACCCAGCCAGTGGCCAGCTGGCACCTGTGCTTCAAAGGCCGTGGAGGAAGAAGCACATGCAGAATGTGAATGTCAATGTGGCCTGTGCAGGGCACCCTTCAAATGCAGCGCAGCTCCCAGAGACTTACTATCACAAAAGGTGGACACACTTCCCAAGAAGCAAACTTCCACAGGAATGGCACCTTGGGGAAGCCAGTGCCAGGCTGGCGTTCAGGCAGCCACTAAGAAAAACGGGACTTTCTTTAATAGGCACAACTGCTGCTCCTCTGCATCCCAGGACACCCCACACTGAGTTTAGTTCTCGCTCTCCCTGGCCTCACAGCTTCCTTTCCTCCCACTCCTGTATCTGCCACTGGAGAGCAGCCAGACCAGTCCTGACACAGCAGTGTGTCCTCCCCCACCTCAGCACCAACCCCCTCATCCACTTAGAAAGGACGAGAATGACTAGCTAATGTACAGGAGGATTTGTTAACCCCAAAGTGTGGTTCTACTGTGGTGGTCTGGTTGGCCCCAGCAACCTACACATTCATGGCTCCTGTGGGGTCCACGACAGGGTGGGGGTGGGGGGATGCTGGTCCAGGGCGTGTCCCTCACTGTAGGAAGGTCCTGCAGTGGCCATTTGGCTCCTGTCTGGATCTGACCAACTGGAGACCACTCCAGGGGTTTATAATTGTCTTGTCTGTCTGTCTGACCCCACTGAAAACACACACAGCCAGCAAAAATGAATAAAAAGCTAAGTAAAAGGTCAAAACTGCTAGAAATCCATTTCCCTGCATGGGGAAAAGAAAAACAGGAGGCCAAAGTCAACAGACAGTAGCATGAGCCCAGCACTGTGGCTGTGAGGATTTACACGGCCACAGGTACCGTGTAGCAAATGCATCTTTTCCCAAATATTTTGAGGCAAAGAATTACACATGCAAAGACAAATAAGTAGAGCAGTGTCTGCTGAGCACCCACCTTCATTACAGTGCCTCTTAGGAACAAACCGCTTGGTGGCTGACAATCCTGTGTCGGGAACCCTCCTCCCGCCCCACCACGCAGGGCTGCAGGTCTTACCTCACTAAGTCTGGAGACCGCACGATCCCTTCCACAATGTTGTCTCGGATTTGCTGGCGGTCGTTCTCATGAATGTTGAATGGAAATATCACTTCTCCTGGGGGAGGCTCGCGGTCTGGCCAGTACTGTGTCACCATGTTCTTCAGGTAGATGGCGGCTGAGTGAGAGAGGGAGGATGCCCAGCAGGGCCGCCCGCTCACACCTGGCACCCAAGGCAGAGCCCTCCATGCCCAACCTGAGGCAGGAAAGGGCCCCCCTTTTCATGATTTTGGTCATTTTTATTTAACCCCTTTGAAGTATTTGCACCTTGGAGAAGATCATAGGGAAAAGGACATCAGACACCAGACATTTTTAGAAAACTGTTAAAATCATTTCTTTCTGTCCAAATACATAGTCAGTGATTTTGTTCCTTTTTTTTTAAAAGCAGTTTCAATGTCTAACAAAAGGCTTATTAAGCAGACTATAGAGTTTTGAAAGAGAATCAGGAGCTGAGCCCTCACTGAAGCTCTTACTCACCACACCCCAACACTATACATACAATACATTCAAGATGAGGAGACACATGACCTGCAGTGTCGGAATTGTCCTCCCTTCCCTCGCCCAGACCTCCCCCTTCAACTCAATTTTAACCAAAGACTAAATTGGCTGATAAAAGCATCACAACACAGAAAAAGCCAGAAGGTTTGACAATTATTATAATACAATGGAAATGTAATGGAACAAGAGCTCAACTTCCTAGAAACCCCTCCTTCATTAGTTTTGATTCACTAAGGTCTGAAAAAGACTATCCTCCCCAGGATTTCCACTTGTCAGGGTAAGACTGGCAAGAGAGTACGCTTGGGCTTTGTCACACTTGTTTTTAATTTAGTCCATATACTCATAAGTCCTCTCTTTTCTCCTGGATGGAGCATTTGTCACATTAGGTAACCTGATGGCAATAAAAAGGCGTAAGCTGCTTAAAAAGAAAAAATGATTTAGAAATACAGTCCAAATTGTCATTGATTCAGACTGACTTCAGGAGATTAATCTTTGCAAAAAGAAAAATCAGGACCTCCCTAGTGGTCTGAGGGTTAAGTCTCAATGCCATCACTGCTACAGCCTGAGGTTGATCCCTGGCCAAAGAGAGCTGACCTATGTGGCTCAGCAGACCTCTCCTGTCTCACCAGCGCTGCTTCCCTCAATAGTAGATTTCACAGATCTGCCTTGTCTGCTCCCTACTCTGTCCTGGGGAATCCTCTTAGCCCCTGGCCTGCACCCCAGTTCTACACACACACACCAAGATGAAAAAAAAAAAAAGCCATATTATGCACAAAACTGTTTAATCCTCATAGAACTGAACTTCAAAATAAAAATAACCTCCAGATAGCAAAGACACAGACGTGGTAAACCACAGACCTACTTATGATTCAGGCACAAACACAGCACACTAATTTGTTTATGCGAAAATAAATCTGTAATTAGTTAAAAGGAAACGGAATTTAATGTAATTATCTGTAAAGAGCCTATTAATTACTCTTCTGTGTAAACACAAGTTACTACATATAACAGGATTTTTTACATCATGCACTTCAGATCTATGACAAAATGGTGTCAGACAAAGTTATCTTAACAAATTAGACAAGATCAACCACCAACTAAACTCGGTTTTTGGCTAACAGATTTGACATCTACAACAACTATAATGGGAAAAATATGCCTTTAAATTCTGCTTCCATTTTATATCAAAATCTAACCAAATAAGTAAGAAGCAAAGTGATACTGAGTTGGTGAAGAATGGGGATTCCCAGCATTTGAGTGCACTGTTGACCAAGTAGTAAGCACAATCGACTTGGAAGTAAGAATCAAAGCTCCAAATGTTAACATCCACTGATGGAGCACTGCCATTTCTTATGAGTTATTCTATTAAAAGCTTTCCACGAGGATCCAAGGGTTTCAAGGATGGGCATTTTGGTATTGCTTCTACTAATGACTGAAAGGGGGGTGGGGTCAATGAATGAAAAGCTCATCAATAATAATTTAAAATAAAGTTGTTTAAATAAACAATGCTCGTTTTACGCAAGGAAATAATGACAACTGGGATAAAGCACAGATCTGTGTCAGCCCTGATATGAATAACTCCCCATGAGTACATTGGCAGAGGGGATTGTAGAATAGGGTGCCTTTTTAATTTTTTACAGACCCTACGGAAAAAAGGGAAGCACTGAAGAGCCACGTGCCAAAACCCATGGCAGCTACCTTTGAGAATGAAGTTACAGGCACTCTAACATGTAAGTTCTATGCTTCTGTGGGAAAATGTTAATTAAAAAACTAAGATCTTTTAAAATATTGTTAAGTTCTATGCTTCTGTAGATTTATAAGTCATATGGAAAAATGTTAACTAAAAAATTCAGATCTTTTAAAATATTATTTCTAAAAGATTTCACAAGAACTTTGAAATACAGGAAAATGTAGGTCATTGAACTTAGGTTCCATTTAGTAAAATGTTCTCAGAACTGTCCTCTGACACAGGCCACTAAGCACATAAACCCTCATAAAGCAGAAAGTCAAGATTTATAAGCCTTACTTAACTTACAAATGTGTTTGCCCATAGGTTTTTCTTCTCTTAACCACAAAGGATCTTTCAGGAAATTAGATGCAGCGTTATAAAAACTTTCCCAAATCTTCGGGGTTTCTTACTTTTTCACTGAGTTATGTTCAAGTAAAATTCCTCTCATCAGCACGCCGAGCTCCTCGGTTCTGCCTGAGCACCCGAGAAGGCTAAAACTCCCCAAGTGTTAAGGAGGCCACTTCACAGCTACAGGGACTTGGTGATTTTTACGTTCAAAGATTCTTTGCATTCTCCTGTATTGCCCACATTTATTTGTAATGAGTGTGTTTCCCATAATAAGTCCCTTAGAGTGCACTTTCAGCTGCTGTTGCCATGGCATCCAGTTCTAGTCACCTCCTTTCAGGAGACAGATCACTAGGCCTAAGAAAAGGCAGGACGCGGAAAACAGGCCTCATGTGGAGCCTCGACCCGGCCAGCATCCTGTCTAAGATGAAGAATACTGCCCCTACTCAAGGACAGATATGGGGCGTCTGTCTAGAACAATGCCTCTGCCCTAGTGCAGATGGGGTGAGAACCACCAGGCCAACAGGAATCGTAAAAAAATTGGGGCCATGAAGTCCTAAGAATTGAGAAAGCTACGGGGGAAGAGGGCAAAAGCGCCAAGGCAAGGAACTGGCAGGTAGAAGGTCCAGACAGAAAGATCTAAGGCTCTAACTCCAGGTCTCTTTTGATAGGGGGTGTGTAAGCCGTTCAAGATACTTCATGTTTGCTTCCTAGCTTTTTAAAAAATCACAGATATTTAGATTTTCAAATAAAACTGGAATTCTACTTTTCCCTATAAGGCACTTCCAAAGGACAAAGCAGCAACTCACCGGCCTGACGCACAGGGAACTCCACATGGTCGGAGACTATGATCCGGAGTAAACTGGGGGCAAAGTTGATGATCTTGTAGGACTGAAATCACAAAGAGACATCTGACAAATTGGCCATATAAACAAGTAACCCTCAGGGCCTGTGACTGAATGTGACATTCTCTAAATAACATAAAAACTATTTTCCTTTAATTTTTTAAAATTTATTTGTATATATCTTGTAGCATTGTTCTTTTTTTTTTTAAAGATTTATTTATTTGTGCATACAGAACTGGGGTAAAGGCCAGAGGTGCAGGGGCAGTGAGAGGATTCACCAGAGACAGAGTGGGGAGCAGAACAGGCAGATCGACAAAGTGCACTGCTGAGGGGAGCAGTGGGTGGGTCAGGAGAGGTCTGCAGTGCCATGTGGTCACCTCCGGGGTAGGCAGGGATCGAACTCATGAGGAAGTGGCTTTCAATTCTTAGTGTTGCACTTTAACCCGCTGCACCACCAGGGAGGGCCCCAGCATTGTTCATTTTTATACAATGTTTGCTTTCTCCTCTCAGGTGTAATCCCTGTAAAATTCCTACTACTAAGTAACCTGTGAACCATCACCATACACAGGCCCTCGTGCTTTTCACCCCCATTTTTTTAAAAGATTTAATGCATACAAGAACTGGGGTATAGGCCAGGGATACAGGAGGTAGTGGGGAGGTAAGAGGATTCACCAGAGACAGAATGGGGAGCAGAACAGGCAGACTGACTGAAATACATTGCTGAGGGGAGCAACAGGCAAGACAGGAGAGATCTGCTGCACCACGTGGGTCAGCTCCCTGGCTGAGGATTGAATTCATGCTGCAGTGGCTGTGGCTAATCCCTTGTGCCATTAGGAATACCCCATTCCTTCCCCTGTTTTGATCCCTCTCTCACCCCTCCCTTACTGAATAGCTCTGATTTATAGTTGCCTGTTTGTTTTTCCTGAACCCTTGTTCGGTTTCCTATATTCCGCCTATAAGTGCAACCATCTGATATTTTTCTTTCTACTGACTTATTTCACTGAGCATCACCCCTTCCAGGCCCATCCATGTTGCTGTGAATGGCATGAGTTTATCGTTTTTGCTGGCTGAATAGTATTCCACTGTGTATACAGGCCATATCTTGATCCAGTTATCCATTTGGGAGCATTTGGATAAATAACAGAAAAACTTTTGAAGTCAGAGAAACTCCCTGAGACTGAGAGATTACTAAATTACCTGCTGTCAAAAAAACAAAAACAAAAAAACCTGACTAGAAAACGAATAAATAAAACAATATGCTTCTTTGACCATGCTCTCAAAATGCTGCTCAGAAAGCCCACAATTCCCACTATCCAACCAAGGGCCTGTGTCCCTGGTCCAACATGGGGCTTGACACTGCCACCCCTTTGAAACTTTGTGATCTCATTCACATGTTCAACCATCTCTCTCGTGAACCCCAGCTCTTGCTCTCCTCTCCTGCTAGCCCAAGGCCTCTCCTGCAACCATGCTCCTCCAGATCCTCCATCAGGACCTCCCTCAGACCAAGAAGCACCCCTGCTCAGTAGCCCTCTGTGTACTGCAGGGACTGGACCAGCTCTGTGTGTCACATCTGGTTTTGTTTCATCCTGATGCAGCTGGGACACAAAGAATCACCCAGAATCCTGGAACGTACTGGGTCCCCATAATCAACATGAGTCCTGCTCCCTGAACATCAGTGAGAGCAAACTGATGAAGGAGTCCAGATTTGTAAATGAGAAGTTTCACTAGAAAGCAGTCTCAATGGAGGCCTTCAGAAGCCACCTGCACCAATTCCCACAAACCTGCTACTTAAACTTATTGTGTCTAAATACAAAATTGTCTTTATGCCAAAATTGCCTTCCTACTACAAGCACTGTTCCAGAGACCACTTTGACGTCAACATGGCTGACCACAATTTAAATCTCTTTTTGCAATCATTTGCCAATGTTAAGACTTCAGGCCACCTTCCGGCTTTCTTCCAATCTCGATTCCACCTAGCCAGCCCCACAGTCAGGCATGTCCTCCTCCTGCTTTCCCACAAATGTGTGGAATATGTGAATGAGATCACCAAGTTTCAGAGAGGCGGCAGTGTCAAGCCCCATGTTGGACCAGGGACACACATTTCTGATTCTAAGAAAGAAATGAAAAAGACATTCCTTACTGAATTCTTGGTCATAATGACATGGGACATGTTTTCTGGAAACAGAGGATTGACCTGCCTAAGCAGGTTAATTTTATGAGAACCTACTGGACAAAAGGGCTTGGGGTCTTCCCCCTCTTCTCCCTCCCCCACACTCCCAACATCATTCCCTCTGGGCCAAACTAAGGCCCTCACAGAGCCTCCCCTGCTCTCCTCCTCACAAGAGCAGCCACTGGCCACTGTCATTCTTCAGATGACAGTCACCCTACCACACATCCAACATCCTCACACTAGGACAGTCTCTCCACAGCACTTATGACAGGAAATGGTACCTGGTATGAGTCTGTGCCCACCAGTGCAGAGCACGCTCCACCAGGCATGGTCTTCAGCCCAGAACACCAACAACATGACTACATGAATAGCCCCCCTTATAGGCATTCTCTCAGAGTACAATAAATAGACACCTAGAGGTGCTTGGAAAAGCATGCACTCCAAGGTGGGCACCCAGAACATCTGCTTCCCTCTAAAGGTGTGTGAAAAAGGAAGGAGTACCTTGGGGGGAGGGTATGAAGCAAGGCACCCACTCTCCTACTGCTGGTGCTAGTGGGCCCTGAGACAAGGAATGGGTCTGTACCCTGAACACCTGGGGAAAAACTAAAGACATTTTTCCCACAGAAGCAATACACACAGGGGAGCAGAGAAGCCTTAGATACAGAAGATAGATGAAGGTTGAGATGTTATCCTTTGGAACAGTTGTCATGCAGGAGCTGTCCTCTCTTCCAAATGGTATTTGACAAATCCGGCAGAACCCTGCTGAAACTGTCCCCACTTCCTATGGGTAAACATCTGCCCTGGGTGGGGGGAGGGTAGGGAGGGACACCAAGACTGAGATAAGCAAGATGTCCCCCAAAGGTGTCCAGCAGATAACCCACAGGTTATCCTTCCACAGGGACATCACAGAAGGGCATGCCAACCCCAGTTCTGCCCACCTAAACTAACTACAAAGCATGAGACCTTGTATTTTGATCTTGTACTTACAATACCTAGAGAAAAGACTGCAATCCAAAGCATTATCTCAAATATTAATAAGCTACTTGAGAAGTCGCACTGGAAACTGGTCTGAGATGAGTTGGGTTGACACAGGCCATGGCAGAGCAAGGAAGGAATGGATATGATGCAAATCCACCAGAAAACCGGGTGCTAAGAGCCACCCCCAGTCCGATGGACTCTGCTGCCTGCTATTTTCACATTTGTAAAGCCGAATGTGCCTAGACCTGGGTGATGGCAGAGGCTGCAGGGGCAGCTATCTGGCCTCCTGGCAGCTAGCTCAAGTTCAGCTCTGGCTTCTTCTTCCTGATTCACGCTGCGAGGGCTTTCCTTACCCATTTACTAAAGGTACTTCTCTGCCAATAATGGCTCGGGTCCTGCCTTTAACTTGCCCCTAATCTGAGACATTCCTTCTCTTTCGAAGGTACGAATACAATTCTCAACTTTCTCTCCAGAATTCGCCTTTTCAAGCTCCTTTTTTATTTCTCAGATTCGCCCTTACTCCAAACGCCCCCAGAAATCCCCAAGCCTAGCAGCGCAGTCCCGTCAAGTCCAAGGGAGGAAAATGCCGCGCAGCGCTGGGAGGGGGGAGGGGGGCCTCACAAGCAGGTGCGCAGCCAATCGGGCAGAGCCTTGGCTCCGGGGCTGAAGAGCGCCCCCCCCCCAAAAGCGCACGTCTTGCACAGCTTTGGGGGGCAGGGGGCGAAGCCAAGAACCACCATAGCTTGTGTTTCCTCCGGCGCCTCAGCCAGAGACCCGCGCCCTGCCCTCTGGATTAGAGGCAGGGCACTCCCGCAAGTGAGACCGCAAGTGAGAGGAAAGATGGGGCTCCCAGGCTGTGTTCACCAAATCCAGGTCCAGGCGGGAAGAGGCGCGGCAGGACATCCCGGCTGGGCGTCCCAGCCCCGCGCGAGGTGAGAACGACCCCAACCTGCCCGGTTGGGCGCGTCTCCGCGAAGCGGAACTCTGGGCGCCCCATCCGCGCAGGACGCCCCTCCCCGCACCCGAAGGCGAAGATTGGGGAAGAGCGGAGTTAAGTAAGATCTGAGTGTTAAGCCAACTCCCAGCCCCGCTCCCCAGTCGGCGCGGTCAGGGCAAACATCAGACCCCGCGCGGATGCCGCCAGCTTTGGGGCAAGTGGGCAACAGGTGCGCTTAGGGAAGGAGGCGGGGCGCGGCCGCGAGGGGCGCGCCCACGAGGAGAGGGCGTTGGGATCCCCGGGGGCGGGGGTCAGAACCCGGGAAGGGAAGGGCCCACGGGGCGTGCGGGAAGAAAGGGGGTCTGGACCCCAGGAACGGAGAGGGAGGGGGAACTGGGAACAGGGACTGGACGGGAACCCCGGAGAAGTGCGGGAGCAGGAGTCAGGACCCGGACTGGAAGCGGCAGGCGGGGCGGGACACCCGGGAGTCGGGCGGGGAAGCGAGGTTCGGGACCCTGGCAGGCGGAGTGTGAGGGCGGCTGCGCGGGCCCGCTCGGCCT